TGTATTTTGGTATTTTTGTATGCTTTCTGAATGCCTCCAAGTAGATGTGATCAGGAAATGGGCTTCCCTTTTCACTCTTCCTGAGAAGTTTCAAGATACCACTGTTGGTCGTTTTGATGTAACTTAGGATTTAATTTTCGGCCTGTTTCTTTTGTCTTCTTGTTCCACTCCACAATCCCCATTCAGTCCTTTTTTCTAATTCAAACAGTTCAGAGCCAGCTGTGGCCGTTTGGTTTTAATTGGAAACTGTCTCTTTAAATTTCGAGGAGATCTGCGCACATGCGTAGTAGAATCCTCCGAGGGTGGGGCTGTGGTGCCACTAGCTCAGGCACCCCTATAGTCACCCGAATGGAGGTGCGCAGACAGCAAGGGACCAATGAGCAGATACCAAAAGAAAAGAATGTCCACACCTTTATCTCAGTGGTTCTGCCGGTCGTCTGTGGCCGCTCCAATCCTTTCCCCACATGGTCTCACCCAAGATGGCGACTCCTGGAGCAGCTGAGTGTCCCGGACTAGAAAGCAATAGATTTCTTAATTCTGCCACAAATTCCCCCAGCTATGAGCCTTTCAACCTTCTAAGTATTCCTTTATATGTGGTTCAGAGTTCTGAGACCATCCCCTGAACCTGCTTGGTCTGGTATTCTGTGTTGAAGTTGGCAGAGCTCTCTGCTATACGTCCACCCGATCCACCATCTTGTTTGTTCCTCCTATCATCAGCTCTTGATCATATGCTACATCTTGAAATGGTTGAACATTGACCATTTCTTTGTGATATTGTGACTCTGTGTATTCCTTACATCTTTTGATTCTTTCTGAATTATTCAATATTTTTCCCATAGAATCAATCAGTATTACAAGTTGAGGACTGAATTTTTTCTTCAGTTCCCTCAGCTTGAGAAATGCTGATTGTGTTCTTCCCTTTTGATTTTCTATCTCCAGGTCTTTGCACATTCTGTTATAATAATTGACTTTGTCTTCTCGAGTTACCCTTTGAAAACTTCTGTTCAGCTTTTTTACCTAATTTCTTCCATTTGCTTTAGCCACTCTATGCTGGAAAGCAAGTTTCAGAGTGACATCCATTTTGGTATTTTCCTTCCATCTTGTCTTCTTAGTGACCTTTTGATGTCATCCCACAATTCTTCTGGTCAATGGTCTTTAGTGTCTAATGCATCAAATCTAGTTTTCTGATGATCTCTAAATTTAGGTGGGATATATATTCAAGGTCATATGAGCAATTGATGATCTGTTCCACAGTCTGCCCATGGCCTTGTTTGGGCTGATGATATGGAGCTTTTCCACCATGTTTTTCCACAGATGTAGTCAATTTGATTTCTTTGCATTTTATGTGGTGAGGTCCGTGTGTTTTAAAAAGGTATTTGCATTGAAGAAGTCAGTGGTCTTGAAAAATTCTATCATGTGATCTCCAGCATCATTTCTATCACCAAGACCATATTTTCCAACTGTGGATCCTTCCTCTTTGTTTCCAACTTTTTCATTCCAATCACCAGTAATTATCAGTACATTTTTATTGCATATTTGATTAATTTCCAATTGGTAAAGTTGGTAGAATTCTTCAATTTCATCATCACTGGTTGTAGTGATTGGTTCATAAATTTGAGTAATAGTGTTATTAACTGGTTTTCTTTGAAGGCATATGGACATTATCCTATCACAGACTGCATTGCACTTCACGACAGATCTTGATATGTTCTTTTTGATGATGAATGGGATGCCGTTCCTCCTGTTTGTCGTTCCCAGCATAGTGCACCATGTGATTGTCAGATTCAAAATGACCAATGCCAGTCCATTTCAGCTCATTAATGCCTTGGATATTGATGTCTATGTACTCCATTACATTTTTTACAATTTTCAATTTTCTTAGACTCGTACTTTATACATTCTATGTTATAATTATTAATGGATGTTTATAGCTGTTATAGCTGTTGCCCCATCAGCAAATGAAGGTCCTGAAGGCTTTACCCCATTCTTGTCATCATGATCAGCTCTGCTGTAAGAGGAGTCTGCTTTTCCCCAGTTGCATCTTGATTGCCTTCCAATCTGAGGGGCTCATCTTCCAGCACACTATGTGACAGTATTCTGGTGCTGACCATGTGCTACTGTTAAAAGATTTTCAGTGACTAAATATTCAGAAGCAGTCCATCTCTCCTTCTTCCTAGTCTGTGTTAGTCTGTAAGCTCAGCTGAAACCTGTCCACCATGGGTGACCCTGCTGGTATTTAAAATACTTGTAGCATAGCTTTTAGAATCACAGCAATATGCAAGCCACCACAAGACGACAGACTATAGAGTCACCTTCATGTTGAAAAGTGGTAGTTAAATTTGAAAAACACTTGTTAAAAAGGTATTCCATCATACAGCCTCCAGCAAAATTTCTATCAGCAAAGTCAAATTTTCCAACTAGTGTTCTACTACCTCTTTGTTTCCAGCTTTCACATTCCAGTCACCAGTAATTATCAATGCAGCTTGATTGTATGTTCAGTCAAATTCAGACTGAAGTAATTGATAGAATTCTTCAATCTCATTATCACTGCTTTAATAATTGGCGTGTAAATTTGCATAATTGTGGTATTAACTGGCTTTCCTTTTAATCATATGGATAATATTCTATCACAGATAGCACTGTACTTTAAGATAAAACCTTGAAATACTCTTTTTGATGATGACTACCACACCTTCCTCTTCAGTGTGTTGTTTTCAGCAATAGTAAACCATATAATTGATTCAAAATGGCCAGATAACAATTCATTTCAGCTCATTATGCATTCCACTGTATTTTTTGGCAACTTCAAGTTTTCCTAGATTCATACACGTGCATTCTGTACTCCAATTATTAGTGGATGTTTGTAGCTGTTTCTTCTCATTTTCACTTGTGCCATATCAACAAATGATGGTCCAGATACCCATGGCTTAGCTTCCAGGACATAACTTATCCTCAGTCTTACTTTGAATGTCTTCCATCTTGAAAGGCTCATCTTCCAGCACTGTTCTGAGTAGCTCACACTGTTCTGCTGCTATTCGTAAGGTTTTCAATGTTTAACCATTCAGGAGTGGGCTGCCTCTTCTTGTTCCTAGTCAGTCTTAGTCTGGAAGCTCTGCTGAAACCTGTCCACTGTGGGTGACCCTACTGGTATTTAAAATACTGATGGCATAGCGTCCAGAATCACAGCAACTCATAAGTACCACAGTCCAACAAACTGACAGTCGAGTTGCAGAGTGAGATTTCAGTATATAAAATAGACCCCAAGAGACAGAAAACTTTTAGTCTAGGCTTTGAGTGTCTTTGATGCTGTCTATGAATACCCAGGCAGAATTTATTGCTTTCTGATCTATTCACGTAGCATATTAAAACTACCTCTAACATTTTTATATTTACTTCTTTTCATGTTTCATTTGGCTAATAGTCCTGAGCATACTTTTAATAATTTCACAGTCTAGCATATAGTAGACATTCATTAATGTTTGATGGGCAATTGAGTGAGTGATATGTGTACCCAGGATCAAATAGAAACTGCTCAGCCTCCCTATCTCTTTTGTCTTGTAGCTTTTTGTAGTGGATGTCCAGACAAGCCAGATCACTAAGATTCCCATTCTGAAAGACCGGGAGCCTGGAGGAGTGACCCAGCAGGGCTGTGGTATCCATGCCATTGAGCTGAATCCCTCTAGGACACTGTTAGCCACTGGAGGAGACAACCCTAACAGTCTTGCTATCTACCGGCTGCCTACATTAGATCCTGTGTGCGTGGGAGATGTAAGTTTTCCTAATAATTACAGTTAGAGATGACCATGTTTTTATAAACAGGGCCCCTGTGTATGGACCCTTCCCTCTAAAGCCCTCCTGGGAAAGGATGGTATACTTCAGATTTTGCTCACTCCAGGGGTATGGGAATGAGGTGTTGGAGGTAGTAGTATCAGAATAGGGATACGTTACAAGGAGTACCAGGTATGTTGACAGTATATGGTTGATAAGGGGGCCAGTGGCAGTGAGAAAAGTAAATCAGATCAAAGAAATAGGGAGTGCTCTTTGGAGGATGTTGTTTCAGAGCATAATTAGGGAAGATCTCACTGATAAATGACGTTTGGGCAGAGAGACTTCAAGTAAATGAGGGCGTACGCCATTAGGAGTCTGAGAGGTAGAGAATTCAAACAGAAGGAAAGAAGCTGGTTATTGCGTTAATCCTAGGACGCAAGGGTCATGAGATCAGAGGGAGGACTGGGAAGCTGATGATTGTGTTTAGAAATTCCAAGTAAGACCCTAGTGGTAGAAGTCCAGAAATGTGTATCCGCTAGACATGATTATTGCTCGGAAGAGTGCTAATTTCATTCCAGCTCTGAACTCCTCAAGGTAGAAGCTAAAGATTGTTTGGTCATGCCCTATGGGATCACCAGAGTTGTAATTTTACATATATTTTCAGTCAGACTAGTTTACTTTTCCAGGAAGGTGCATGGTGATTCATATTTCACTAATTTCATTTTTTTTTTTTTTTTTTGTCTTTCTCCTTTTACTCATCACTCCCTCCTTTCTTAGGATGGACACAAGGACTGGATCTTTTCCATTGCATGGATCAGCGACACCATGGCTGTGTCTGGTAAATTTGCTCTTTTGTAGGGAACTCTGGTGTGCTGAGGAGCCCTGGTGGTGCTGTGGTGAGACGTTGGGCTGCTAACCTTAAGGTCAGCAGTTCAAACCCACCTGCTTATCTATGGGAAAAAGAAGAGCCTACTGTAAAGATGGACTGTCTCGGAAACCCTATACAGGATTGCTCTGAGTCAGTGTCAGCTTGATGGCAGTGGGTTTAGTTTGGGGTTTTGGTTTTGGTGTGAAGAGTGAGGGAGGCAGAAGACTGAAAAGGATAGTACTATGATTGATGATAGCTCAGAAGAACATTGGTCAGGAGCCAGGAGATTGTGTGTCTAATCTTGACTCTTTCTTACCATGTGACCTTGGATAAGTCATTTCCTCTGTATCTTAACTGATTTGGAAAGTGGAGCTACTGGCTTACTTCATTTATTATTCATATGCTGTCTTGTTTCAGAAAGCATGTGTGGTAGCATGTTTGCCTTGAGGTTTTTGTGGGGCTTTTTCAAGATAGTGGTTATAAAAGTGTTTTAGGAAAGTTGGTATGCTCTCCAAAGCAACAGGGACAGCAATCATTTTTTGTGCAGCTGTATAGCATTAAATCAACAATCTCATTGATAAAAGCAGTACAGGATTGGATTAATTTCTTTCTCAGTGGTTAGAACTTCCAGTAAGAAGATACGGATAAATGATTATAGAGAAGATAACCTACAGCTGTATACAAAGTGTTTAAAGTGTCCACAACAGCCTAGAAATTTCTCATCAAATTTGCTGGATAACCGTATATAAAAATGTAAACTATTTCCAAATAAAAATTATCGTAATAGTCACTATGTATACTAAAAGTATTTCATGTTATTTCCTAATTCTCACAATAGTAGAAAATTTGTATTATTAGCCTCATTTTAAAAATAAGGATATTTTTATTTGAATTCAGATCTGTGCCTAAAACTGCTACTTAAAAGGCTAAGAAAATACTATTTTTTCCCTACCTTCAGATTCTTAACAAGGCAATGGATGGAAAGCAATTAGAAGGAAAAGTAGATCAAATAATGAAGCATAATTGCAGGTGAAGTTACCCAGGTGGGACTCAGAAGCTTCTAGATTCTCTGTTATCTGTCTGAGCTCTTTAAGGGCAGAGGCTGAGTCATATTACCTCTATGGAAATTGCTCCCCTGACTGTAAATGGGGCCCACTTTCCAACCTGCACTAGATTTGATTGTTGAAAGCTAGATTTGGCTTTATTTTGGGAACCTCCCTTTCTTCTTGCAGACACTCAACTTCATTTTTAAGTGTACTCGAGCTGTGATAATTCCCTTAGCAGTATAGCAAGGATTAAGAGCATTGGCTCTGATAGTAGAGACCAATATTAGAATTCTGGCCCTACCATTTATTAGCACTCTGGTTTTGGGCTAATTATTTAACCTCTTTTGAAACTTGGTTTCCTCATCTATAACTTTAATAATGGCTGCATTGTACTTCAGAGGGTCAGTGGGAAAAATAAGTGGGATAATACATAATGACAGCCATATTGAAAATACACAGTCCTTGTTAACCGTTGTTAATATTCAGCCGTGATGATGGACACAAACCTCTAAATATTCCACCTCAAAGTGAGTATCATTAAAGCCCATTATCTCCTTCCCAGAGTACACCACTCCCTCCTGTTAACCTCCATGCAGACTCACAAGCCAGAGAGAAGTAGCTGACTTAGGCTCTTCAGTTATCTTAGCCTGTATAGATGGCAGATTACCAAACTGTTTGTCTGTTTTGTAGAATATCTTTTAAATCTGTTCATTTCTTTTCGTCTCTATTTGAAAGCTTATCTATCTAGAATTATGCTAATATTGTCTCATAATTTTTCTCTCTGTGTCTAGTCTTCTTCATTCCAATCTTGAGATTGTTGGCAAATTCCTTAAATAATTTTTCCCTTGTTATAAAAATTGCAAGAAAAATTTTAAATATAATTTCCCCAAAGTATCTTCACCCAGATATAACTAATGTTAACATTTGAAATCTAGCCTACCTTTTTATTAATTAACCTATCTTTTTCTAACATTTGTCTGATTGTTAAGACATGAGAGAGAGGGCTGAATAGATGTGTGATTAAGCAAGTACACCCACTCCTCACATCTTGATATGGCTAGGTTCCACGGATGTCTTTATGTGAAAATTGACATTATGCAAAAATCAGCATTTTTGCAAAAATGAAGGATGACCATATCAAATCACAAAATGGAGGGTGACCTGACCATTAATTACATAAGAGGCAAACTACTGAGAATCATGGCCCAGCCAAGTTGACACATAACTCTGACCATCGTGGCCAGTGTTGCTGTTGCCTGTTACCTTGTTGTTAATTACTACCAGATGTAAGTTGTTAAATATGCAAAATTGTCAAATTAACGAGCCAGTTGATAGGTGGTAGTGGTGGTTGTGTGCTATGGAGTGGGTTCCGATTCATAGGGATCCTGCACAGGGTTTCTGAGGCTGTAAATCTTTACAGACGCAGAAAGCCTCATCTTCCTCCCATGGAACCATTGATAGTTTCGAACTGCTGACCTTGAGATTAGCAGTCCAACTCGTAAGCATTATGCTACCAGAGCTTGTTTGATAGGAGTAGGTGGTGTATAATTAAATACTAATGGTAGAATGTGTGTGTGGGTATATCAGTACTCATTTTCAAATTCTTACATTTTAATGTGCTTTCAAGTTTCTATAATGAAACCTTGTTGGAAAAATGAGACCACCACACTGTGTATAAAATACTCTCCACAACACATCTAATTATGTCATCTTGCTGCTTAAATCTTTTTTTTAGTGTTTTATTGTGAATTATGATAGTTTACATGGGAGAACATTACTTTTACATTCATTCTATCGTACATCGTATCATTGCCATGGTTACATTCCCCTCCATGCATCATCAACCAACCAAAGGGTATACGCTGCAAGCCTGCCCCCTACACTATTCCCCCCCCCCCACCAGTCTTCAGCACACAGTCGCTCTCCCTCTCTGGATATAAAGCCCCCAGCTGCTCCATCGCTCCATGTGATACTTAAATCTTTGAATGGCTTTCAGGTATCATCCATAGGATGAAATGTAAACTTCCTAGAATATAAACTTCCTACTGTCCTCCTCCCAAGTTTGTCTCCCCATGTTGTTGTTGTTGATAAGTGCTGTCGAGTCGATTCCAACCCATGGCAACCCTGTATAGGGTTTGTGAGGAGCAGCTGGTGATCTTGAACCGCTGACCATGCAGTTCAAACAGCTTTGCAGTCTGGCACATTAATCCACAATGCCACACCAGAACTCCTCCCCATAGATGCCCTGTAATCCAGTATAATGAGTCATATATAGTTCTCTAGATATGCTTTCTCTGACCTTTTCTAGAATTTCAAATAAACATGATTAACACTCTACTTTGAATTTCTGCCTTCAAGCCTTATGCAAACAAATGGGATAATATTTCTCCATGTTGTCTTGGCAGTTTTTATAGGAAGAATTTTGGAGGTTTGTGATGGAAGAAGGGTAATTTCTGGTTTCAGAGGCATGTTGGCAAAGAACTGCCAGAGAAAGAAGTATCCTAATTGGAGCAGTTGACCTAATTGTCAAATTCAAGGCCCAGAGGTCTAATAGAGAGGCAGGGAGAATTCATATCATCCTTACATCTTTGAGATCCTCCTTCCATCATCACAACTAATCCTGAAACCTTACCAGAATTTTCTTTCTTTTCTATTGCTGGCTTGCTCTTCTATGATCAGTTTCTAACCTCAGATCATTTGACATTTGATTCTGAAACTAGTGATTGAACATTGAGTCTCAAACTAGTAGGGACTTCAGTTTGGGGGACAAGCAGAATTTTTAAAATAACTTTTTCCCGTTTTTATTTTTATAGAAGTCTATTCTCATTGTGGAAAATACTGAGGAGTTAATGTTCTTAAAGTGGTTATAGATAGTCTGCTTTATGACTGTAACATAACGCTATTATTAGACATGTGGAGTGTTCTGAATAAACATCTTTGTATATGGCTCTTTCTTTCAGTAATGCTTATGATAGTGGATTATTCCTAAATGGGAACATTAACCTTAAGATTTTTCTGTAGATTATTCAGTTGATGCCCATTTTAGTGTGCTAGCAGTCTTGTATTCAGGGCTCACTTCAAAAGACGGTATTCTTAGTTTTCAAAGTACTTCATTATTATTTGCTAAGGAAAATTATTAATCTCTTTAAACATTTATTTTATGTAAAATAGTGATTTTTAAGTCAGGGATTGTGATTTCTATGGATCCATGAAAGCCTTTAGGAGGCCTATGAACCTCCTTGAAATTGAATGTAAAATGTAGTATGTATATGTATTTTTTTAGATTAAAAATGGAATCTACAACATTCTTGTGTTATGTTGTTGTTAGGTGCCATCCAGTCAGCACCGACTCATAGCGACCCTCTGCACTGTCTGGTCCCGCACCAACCTCACAATTGTTGCTACATTTGAGCCCATTGATGCTGCCACTGTGCCAGTCCATCTTGTTGGGTCTTCCTCTTTTTCTTTGACCCTTGTGATAGGCCTCTCCAGGGACTAGTCCTTCCTGACAGTATGTGCTAAGTGTGAAAGATGAAGACTGACCATCTTGGTTTCCAAGGAGCACTCTGTGCTGCTTCTAACACAGATCTTCTTGTTCTTTTGGCAGTTCATGCTACTGTTACAAGTGTCAAAAAGTTTATTTCAGTATCTGCCTTAGTGGAATTGTTCCTTTATGTAGTTAGTGGTGGTGGTGGTTATGTGCCGTGGTGTCAGTTCCGACTCATAGCAACCCTGTACAGGGTTTCTGAGGCTATAAATCTTCATGGGAGCAGAAAGCCTCATCTTTCTCCCGCGGAACAGCTGGTATTTTCGAACTGCTGACCTTGAGGTTAGCATCCCAATTCGTAACCACTACGCTACCAGAGCTCCTTTCCTTTATGTAGTATGTCTGTTAAAATACATGCTGCTGTTTTTGGGGGTAGACAATCTGACCAAGCTTTAGTACATCTGAGGAGGATGTATAAGCAACTAGACTTATTAGAAGGCTCATGTTGGCTTGACATCTGTGGTCTTTTTGCCTTGCAGGCTCACGTGATGGTTCTATGGGTCTCTGGGAGGTGACAGATGATGTGTTGACCAAAAGTGATGCACGGCACAATGTGTCACGGGTCCCTATGTATGCCCACATCACTCACAAGGCCTTAAAGGACATCCCCAAGGAGGACACAAACCCTGACAACTGCAAGGTCCGGGCTCTGGCCTTCAACAACAAGAATAAGGTATGCACTCACTAAATGATTCCTAAAAGCTGTGCTTCAACTTCTTGGCTTATGTATTAGGAGATACACTCATCCCCCTCCTCAAGTCATTGCTTGCTGCATAGCTTGGTTTTCAGTTCACAAAGTACCTCTTTAAGGGCAGAAGGATGTTGGTGGAAAACTGTAACTGTGACTGTGAAACCTGTTTAGACTGAAATCTGGGTATTTTTTAAGTAATTCAACAGCAACAACAACCATAGTATTGTGGATTGAATTATGTCCCCCAGAAATATACGTTATAATTCCTAACCTCTGTGCCCATGGCTAAAGGAGCTCTGGTAACGTAGTGGTTACAAGTTGGGCTGCTAACCTCAAGGTCAGCAGTTGGAAACTACCAGCAGTTCTGCAGGAGAAAGATGAGGCTTTTTGCTCCTGTGAAGATTTATAGCCTCAGACACCCTATACAGTTTTGCTGTGAGTTGGAACCGAGTCCATGGCACACAACCACCACCGTGCCCATAGCTCAGGAACCCTGGTGGCATAATGGAGTAAGTGCTGGGCTGCTAACTGCAAGATCTGCAGTTCAGGTCCATCAGCCACTCACTCCTCAGGCAAAAGATGAGGTTGCTTGCTCCCATAAAGATTCTACAGTCTTTTACAAGAAACCCTAAGGAACATTTCTACTCTGTTGCTGTGAGTCAGAATCCACTCAGTGGCAATGCGAATGGTATGGAACTATGCTGTGATTATAATCCCATCTGGAATGAGTTGTCATTTTATGCTAATGGGTCAGGATTCATGTAGGGTGTGTCTTGAGATATAATAGATATTGAGATATAATAGAGATTAAATAAGCAAGAAAGTTAGCAGAGATGGGGGAAGAGCGGTGCCAAGCCACATGAAGATTGCCCAGGAGCAAAATGGTAAAGAGACAAGGACTTTCCTCCAGAGTCAGCAGAGAAAGTCATCCTATAGCCAGCACTTTGAATTCAAACTTCTAACTTCCTAACCGAAATACATTTGTTTGTTTAAGCCACTGACTACCACAGCAGAAAATCCATCATCTTAGACTGAAGGAGACAGAAAAAAAAAACTAAAGCAAAGAATTCTGTGTGCCCCTTGTAATTTTACAGACAGATAACAGGCCAAAGGAATTTTATCTGTTGTCTGCCCCCCAAAAAAAGAACCATCCTTGTAATTGCTTGGAGATCACAGGAAGCAGAACTACATCCGTCTCAGAATGGAGCCACATTCTCCTGGAACAGAGTTGCCCTTCCAACTGAGCTGAGGGCCAAGGCAGAGGGACTTCCAGTCAGATCCAGAAGGCATGGACAACACCCAAAAGGCATGGCCATTGTCTGTTGTTGTTAGGCACCTCAAGTCAATTCTGAATCATAGTGACCCCATGCGCAACAAAATGAAACCCTGCTCAGTCCTGTGCCATGCTCACAATTGCTGCTGCCACTATGGCAATCCATCATTTCATCTCACTTGGGAGCCTACCTCTTTTTCACTTGACCCTCCACTTTACCAAGCATGGTGTCCTTCTCCAGGGACTGAATCCACCTGATAACATGTGTGAAGTCTGAGACACAAAGTCTTGCCATTCTGGTTTTTAAAGAGCATTCTGGTAGTACTTCTTCCAAAACAGATTAATTTGTTCTGACAATCTGTGGTATATTTAAGTGTGTATTTTTCGCCAGCACCATAATTCAAAGACATCAATTCTTCTTCATCTTCCCTATTCACTGTCCAATTTTCATATGCATCTGAGGCAATGGAAAATGCCATGGCTTTGGTCAGGTGCACCTTAGTTCTCAAACTGATACTTTGTTCTTGAACACCTTACAGAGGCTTGTAGAGCAGATTTGCCTAATGCAATACGTTGTTTGATTTCTGGGCTGCTGTTTGCATGAGTGTTGATTGTGGATCTAAGCAAAATGAAGTCTTTGGCAACTTCACTAGCTTCTACATATATCATGTTACTTATTGGTCCAGTTCTGAGGCTTTCTTTTTTCTTTATGTTGAAAGCTGTAGCTCTATATTGAAAACTATAGCCTTTGATCTTCATCAGTAAATATTTTAAGTCCTCTTCACTTCCAGCAAGCAAGATTGTATCATCTGCACATACAGGTTGTTTATGAGTCTTCTTCAAATCATGATGCCACGTTCTTCCTCATATAATCCAACTTTTCAAATTATTTGCTCAGCATAGAGATTGAATGTTAAGTTCTGTCAAGTTGATTCCAACTCATAGTGACCCTGTATAGGGTTTCCAAGGAGCGGCTGGTGGCTCAAACTGACTTGAAGTCTAGTGCTTTATCCCACAGTGCCACACCAGATTGAATAAGTGTGGTGAAAGACTATAACCCTGATGCACACCTTCCCTGAGTTTAAACCTTTCAGTGTCCCCTTATTCTTGTTTGAACATCTTTCCTCTTGGTCCATGTTCAGGTTCCTCATGAGTGTTCTGGAATATCCATTCTTTTCAATGTTGTACATAGTTTGTTATGATACATACAGTCAAAAGCCTTTGCATAGTCAAAAAAGCATAAGTAAATGGTTTTTTGGTATTCTCTGCTTTCAGCCAAGATCTGACGTCAGCACTGATATCCCTCATCCTTCCTGCATCGTTCACTATTTCGTCTAGAGAATCCTTCAGTATTGCAACCCGAGACTTGAATTTTTTCAGCTTGAGAAATGGACCCAGTGTTCATCCCTTTGGGTTTTCTAACTCCAGGTCTTTGCACATTTCATTTTAATACTTGACTTAGTCTTATCAAGCTGCCCTTTGAAGTTTTGGGTTTCCCTCTTTATGTCCTCATTTCTTCCCATTAGCTTTAGCATTTCTACACTGAAAAGCAAGTTTCAGAGTCTCTTATGACATCTATATTTTATCTTTTATTCCTGTCTTTTTAGTGATCTTTTGCTATCTTTCTGTATGATGGTCTTGATGTCGTCCCATAAATCTTTTGGTCTTCAGTCATTAGAGTTTACGCATCAAATCTGTTCTTGAGATGGTCTCTAAACTCAGGTGGAATATTCTCTCTTCCCACAGATGTAGTCAATTTGATTCCTGTATAGTCTCTCTGGTGAGGTCCATGTGTATAGTTGCCTTTTTTATTGTTTGAAAAAGGTATTTGCAATGAAGAAGTCATTAGTCTTACAAAATTCTGTCAGTGACTTCCAGCATCATTTCTATCACCAAGGCCATGTTTTCCAACTACTGATTTTTCCTCTTTGTTTCCAACCTTCGCATTCCAATCATCAGTAATTATCAGTACATCTTGATTGCATGTTTGATCAATTTCAGACTGAAAAAGTTTGTTAAAATGTTTCCAATTTCATCATTACTGGCTTTAGTGGTTGGTATGTAAATTTGAATAATAGTAGTACCAACCAGTCTTCCTTATAGGTATATGGGTATTATTCTATCACAGACAGCATTGTACTTCAGGATAGATACTGAAAAGGTCTTTTTGACAATGAAAGCAACACCATTTCTCTTGAATTTGTCATTCCCAGCATAATAAGCCATGTGATTGTCTAATTCAAAATGGCCAATACCAAGTCATTTTAGCTCACTAATACTTAGGATATACAACTTTGTGCATTCCATTTAGTTTTTGACAACTTCCAGTTTTCCTGGATTCATACTTTGCATATTTTATATTGCTATTATTAATAGATGTTTGCAGCTGTTTCTCTTTGAGTGCCTTCCAGTGTGAGGGTCTCATCTTCCAGCATTGTATCTATGTTCTGCTTCTATTCATAATGTTTTTATTAAATGACATTATAACTGACAGTATTGTACTACTATTCATGAGGTTTTCAGTGGCTAAACATTCAGTAGTAGTCCATCTCTTCTTCCTGGTCATTCTCAGTCTAAAAGTTCTGCTGAAACCTGTCCACCCTGGGTGACCCTGCTGGTATTTAAAATACCCGTGGAATGCTTCCAGCATCACAGCAGCAGGCCAGCCACTACAGTGTGACAAACTGACAGATGAATGGCCTGGATTTTCTAGGTCATCTGAATTGTTCTGCTGGGGTTTGGACTTCTTTGGTGCCCATCGTCACTTCTTTCTCTCCAGTTTCTCTTAATTGTAGTGGCAGTGTCTTGTCTGTGCTTATTCTGCCATTGTACTTTGGATATAGAGAACTTGCATTCTAGATTTCACAGGTTCACAGGTGAAGAGGAATTTGCCTATTCAAGTAAGAAGTTTTCCTTAGTCTGCATCAAGGCAAAAGAAGTCACTTCCCATCATAAGAACCCCTTTCTAGAATTGGAAGCTAAAAGGAGCCAGCGTGTAGCTGATATGCTCACTTGTGGTAACCACCTGGGTCCATTCATGGAGTGGAAGTAGGGGAAAAGCAACAATGACACTGGTTGAGTTTGATGTGTCCCGTTGGCATCTGTTGATCTAATCCATAGAGGCTAGGGATGAGAGAGAGAAGGAGCTGGCTGGTCTGAAGTGGGCTCTGAAGCCTACAACTGGTGCCCGTTCACTTGGCTTACAGGCACTAGGGATGAACTTGTCAGACACAGCTGAATGAAGAGAAAGACATTTGACACCATGAGCTGTTGTGGATTGCTGTAATTTGATGGATTACACTGGATTGAACTTTGCTTTTGGATACAGTTGTTCAAAGTTCTAACCAGAACAGTAGGACTTGGAGTTGACTAAGACTTTTGGAATGATTTGATGGCGTGATTGTGTTTTATATGTGACAAGGACATGAATTTTGGTGCCAATGGGTGAAGTGTCAAGAATTTAATTGTGTTCCCCCAAAATCTATGTCAACTTGGCTTGGGCTGACTCTCAGTATTTTGGCAGTTATGTGATGATGTACTCATCCTGTGTTGTAAACCCTATAAAGTGGGATTAGGGTGGGGGTACCCTTTAAGTACCACCTTACTTAAGTCATCACCCTTTACTACCTTACTGAAGGCATACCCCTGCTCACAGTCAGACCTTTTATCTTACAAGAGAGAAAGAAAGAGAAGGGAGCTGAGGAGGGACCTCAGTACCACCAAGAGACAAAAGACAGGAATGCAGCCAGGCCTTTGGACCTGGGGTCCCTGCACTGAGAACCTCCTATATACAAGGGAAGATTGATGACAAGACACATGGAGATCTCCGGGCCCATAGATTTTGAACGGAAATAAGGGCCTTCCCCTAGAGCCAACATCCTGACTTCAATCTTTTAAACTGAGAGAATACATTTCACTTTGCTGAAGTTATCCCCTTACTCTATTTCTCTTAATGGTAGCACTAGGTAACTAAGACAAATGGGAACCTACAAATTGTTAGGTTTTAGACTTGTGTTGCTTTTTTTGTTTTCTCAATAAGCAGCTTCAATAGAGGCTGAGAGATAGAGGAGCTAAGGACTCTATACTCATGGAAAGAGCATGACTGTGTGCTGGCGGCCAGGAGGCAGTCTTGCAGAATGTGCCCTTTGGTTGTTTAAATGATTATATATTCCTGAGTGTTTTTGTGTACACCGCCCCCCCCCAAAAAAAAAAACCACCCAGGGGAATAGAAGAAAGTACACTTGAATGATAATACATGGAGAGGATTGTAACCATTGCAATGAAATGATGTGGAAATGATGAGTGTAAGACCAATGTTCTCCCCTCAATTCACAATAAAAAAAAAAGCAGCCTCAATGTCATGTGGTGTCCAGCCACATTTTACAAGGGTGATATGGCTGCTAAGTGCTGGTACCATTGCTAGGATCTTCACAAAATAATAGTAAAGAACAGGAAGACCCTTCAAACTCTTCCCCTGATTAATATTGTACATTATTTGCTACCAGTTGAACTGTAACCTATTTTTCATTGCTCTTGTAGGAATTGGGAGCAGTGTCTCTGGATGGTTATTTTCATCTTTGGAAAGCCGAAAATACACTGTCTAAGGTAGGATGAATCTGACTTAGTAACTTTAGCTAAGAATTCACCATATGGTAAAAATACTCTTAACTCACCCTGGCCCTTCTCATTGTCTAAAACACCAGATCGCTAAAGACTTGGCTTGCCATACTATTGCGTGCGTGGTGCATGAAATTGTGTGTAGGTTTGTCATACCTTTCCTGAAGGGGAAAGTCCTTTAGCTAGCTGTCCTTCGAGCCACAATGATTATTGACTACTTGTCATGCTACAAGGGCAGAAAACCCTAAATAGTAGGAACCACTAACAACTGAAGATCTCTGGTAGCGTTGTGGTTACAAGTCAGGCTGCCAACCGCAAGGTCAGCAGTTTGAAACTACCAGCAGTTCCTCAGGAGAAAGATGAAGTGTTCTGCTCCTGTAAAGATTTACAGCCTCGGAAACCCTGTGCAGGGTCACTATGAGTCGGAACCAACTCCACGGTACTTAACAACAACAACAACAAGCCATCTCTGAAATAAACATGGAAGTTAAAAAGAAAATGGATTCAATTTACAGTATGAGGGGCTTCAGAAGATTCATGGGGAAGCTCTTTTAATTCCATTTTCCCTTTTGAAATTCTATTGTATTTACAGACAGCTTTTGCACAGAGTGAAACTTACACATGGCCCTTTTCCTTCTTTTCATCCCAGAGGGCTTTGCTACATTTTCACTTATGTTGTTAGACTCTTTCTCAAGAGAAGCAGGCCCCAAGAAGTATCGATTCTTTCTTTTAACTTTTTATTGTGAATTGAGTGAAGGTTTACAGAGCAGTTCATTAGTTAGGAGTTTACATTCTTTTATGTCTGTTTCCTTTGAGTGTCACTAACTTTAGATGGTACTTTTGTAGGCACCTATGAGGATATGCGGAATAACAAGTCCAATTTAGGTTTTCTCGGATTGAGCCAGTTGTATGAGTATCCTTTCTTTAGACTAAAATTCCACCCTGATCTGATAAGCAGTGAGGAGGGTGGTGACTCTTTCTGGGAGAACAGACATTAGTGCCTGAGATAACCCCTAGAAACACGCTATAGGTCTTGGCTTTTTCTCTTTACATCTGAGTATTTCATTCCAGGTCTGCCTTCGTCCTAACCTAGTCTCTTCTGTACCTAGATTTTATTGTTTATTACAGTCACTCTCTCTTTGTGATACCTAGGGCTGATATTAAAGGTGGTAATTTCCCTAATCGGGGATTGCCTTTTTTTCCTCTGACTTTTGTGTGACTTATGTGATGGGAAGCCCACAGAGGTGGGAGTTAATGAACACAGCCCCTGTATTAGGTGATGTCACAGGTTTCTCTTCTCTCTTTTCAGCTTCTCTCCACCAAACTGCCGTATTGCCGTGAAAATGTCTGTCTGGCCTATGGCAGTGAATGGTCAGTGTATGCAGTGGGCTCCCAAGCACATGTGTCTTTCTTGGATCCACGACAGCCATCTTACAACGTGAAGTCTGTCTGCTCCAGGGAGCGAGGCAGTGGTAAGCATGCCAAGGTACCCCTCAGGCTTACAGCAGTATTGCAAATGGGTGTTGATCTTAAGTTTCTCTGTTGGTTTTGCAAACAAGGATCTGTGTGGAACAAATAGGTGAGGTTGGTGATGTAAGAAGGAGCTTACATACTTGCAAATGGCCTCAGAGTTTCAAACACCACCTACAAATGTGTCATCACAGAAACCACTAGTGGGAAACAGCAGTCAAAGTACTAGTGGTTTTCATGTTCTTTCACAGCTTTACTTTGGGTAATTTTTGCTGGGCTTCCTGTGAACTAAACAGGTGGTATTGGGGTGTGGGAAAGAGTTTACTTAGAAGCACAAGGAAACTGATTTTTTTTTATTATTATGGTGATGATGTCATGGGCATTTGACATCTGTCAAAATGTACACTGAAAAGATGTATAATGTGTTGTCTCTCAGACCTCAGTAAAGCTACGTAGTATTTAGTTATGGATACTGAGTGACTGAGGCTCCAGCTTCCGAGATTTTATGGCATATTATCTCATAAAGTGCCCTCACTGTTTATGAGGAGATGAAGCTTTTTCTTGGAGGAAAAAGGGAGACAGTGTTTATAGTGTACTATGTTTCAGAGTACCATTTTTGACATTATCTCACTATATCTGACCAAGAGCCTTGTGGAAAGCAGATAGGAAAAGAGCACTGACCTCATTTTTTAGATGAGATTGAGGCCCACCGCAGTTAAGTAACATCACACAGCCTCGTGGGAGAACAGCTTACAGCTAGAATCCAGATCTTCCCAGTTTTTTACCTCCCTTTGGCCCCTTTCTCATGCAAAACTGTGGCTGGCTATCCTGGAAGGTATACTGTGGGTCACAATTTAACCTTCCAACTAGTGTTAATTTTTGTGTAGATATTGCAAAGGTGGCTTTTCTTTTGGGTTTGCTTGTTTTATTTATACTAAGACCCTCCCATTTTTTTAACAAAGAGAATATTTGTAATGAATAGTTGGAGAAGGAGTCAATAGGCATGACTGGAATGATGTGTGCAGTGAAAAATTTTAAGAGATTCTGGTCACTGTTACTGGAGTAGCTTTCATAACCTAATAAGGAAACATTCATCTGACAGCATTATCAAGCACCTCTTATGTGCCAAGTGGCATCTTCAGGTCTCATGCACTTATTTGATTCACTGGTGAAATAGACATACATTATTTTAATTGTGGTACAAATATACACATCAAAACATTGACCAGTTCAACCATCTCTGCCTGCACAGTTGAGATAGGTATGTTTTTCTCCCTATGAGCCAGAGTAATTTGATGACTTGTCTGAAAGTGAGATAGTACTGTTTGGGTGTAGAAGTTCTGACTGTTTGCCTGCCTCATAAAACTCTTAACCAGATAAAGAAACTTTGGGATGTCATGGTAGTAGTTTTAGGCCAAATCCAGGAAAGCCCTTATTGATGTAATGATTTATAAATATGCAGATTACACTGAGTTACTGTTGTTGTTAAGTGCTGTTGAGTCAGTTTCAACTTATAGCAACCCTATATAGGGTTTCCAAGAAGTGGCTCAAACTGACCTTGCAGTCTAGCACCTTATCCTGCAATGCCACACAAGACTCCTGAGTTACAGCAAAAGTTGGAAACAGATGATAAGAAGAGTGTAGGATTGTGAAAGGTGACTCCAAAGTGAGTCCAGAGTAAGTCAAGGGAAGGGAAGGAAATTTGGGAGCACAATTACAGTTTTAGATTAAAATTATCTTGTGTATCCTCAAGCACCTAGCACTTATTGGACGGTCCCTGTTATTGTATGGATGAGCATTGTGAACAGCATCAGGATTCCCTTTGGCTTTTACCTGAGTTACACTTACCATTGGGGAGGAGGCACTGTCTGGTGCTTGAGGGTATCATGTAAACACAGCATAGGGGAAATTGATTCTAGCTTACTATCCCCTTTTCTCTAACTCTCAGGGATCCGGTCAGTGAGCTTCTACGAGCACATCATCACTGTGGGCACAGGGCAGGGCTCCCTGCTATTCTATGACATCCGAGCACAGAGATTTCTGGAAGAGAGGCTGTCAGCTTGTTATGGATCCAAGCCCAGACTAGCAGGAGAGAACCTGAAACTAACCACTGGCAAAGGTTGGCTGGTAAGTAAAGCCCTGCTTGAGATGGTTGCTGGACAGTCTTCCCTCTCCTTCCCTCCCCTGCTTACACACCACCTACACACTCATACAGTTTCACTCTGAGAAAGCCAAGTCGTCTCCATAAGTATGGTTATATCTCTTCATATTGTCTGTGGACAACTGAGACCCAGTGAGGCTCATTGGTTAGCCAGGAGCCCTGTAAGTAGTAATAGAGCAGGAAGGCTGCCAGCGAATTATTTAAAAGTTTGGCTCCACCTGTCTTGAGAAGAACTTAGGTTTGAAGAACTAAGTTCTTCCTGAGAAGAACTTAGCAATTCTTCAGGGTATTCTGTTCCTCTCTTCTGTTAAATTGGAAAAATGAAGCCCAGATTCCCATGAGTACCAACCTTTTGGCATCAGGTTCTAGATACAGGACCCTCTCCATGAGACAAGAAAGCATTCCTATGCTTCCCTGCCCTTTTCCTGCTCCTTGGTCTGGAAGTGGTAACAGTCTCTCTATCTTCCCATAGAATCATGATGAAACCTGGAGGAATTACTTTTCGGACATTGATTTCTTCCCCAATGCTGTTTACACCCACTGCTACGACTCGTCTGGAACGAAACTCTTTGTGGCAGGAGGTCCCCTTCCTTCAGGGCTCCATGGAAACTATGCTGGGCTCTGGAGTTAACGACAACTCTCTCCCAAAATGCAGAGATTTACACTTCTATCCTCAGTTTCCTTGTTTATTCTTTTGATTTTTTTTTTCCAGTTGTGTGAAGCTCTCAATTTTTAGTGGGAACACCAGAATTTACCTATGGTTTAGGCATTTGACAGGAAGAAGCTCTAAATAGAAATCTGAAAGGGCCTTTTTTCCCTTTTGGTAATCAGAATTTTACTTTATTGTCATTTTTGTTTGTTTTTCGCCACATGTTGTTAATCCCTGTTTATCATTTTTCTTTTAAGTAACACACACTCTCCCCTCTCTGGCTTCCTCTTGAGACTGACACAGTCATGCTCACCTTTACTTCACTTTTGAGGTGGGGTTCCTTTATAATTATGTGGTTGCTGTCAGACTTTCTGTGAAAGTTTGGGGGCTGTGTGTGTGTGTGTGTGTGTGTGTGTGTGTGCACACGTGCGCATGTGCACACACACAAGCATATGTGTCTATAGATACTGTGTGTCACTAAAATTACCTGGAGTGAGGAGTACTTGTAATTAAAATATTTATAAAAGAAACAACTTTATTCACAGAGTCCAGCTTTGGGGCTAGTCTTTATCTTGTTTTTAAAAGTCTAACAACACTGATTATACAAAGTTAACAGAAAGAAAAACAAAACTGTCTACCAGGAAAACCCTTTGAATTAGATTGCAGGCTTCCTGGGGAATCCCATGCCAGGCTTCCAAAGTAATCCAGCCCCTACCTGTCCTACCAATTGTCTGTCTCCAGGTGAGAACACTTCTGTGTGTGTGTCACTAGCACTTCCCACCTCCTCTCTGGGTAGCCAGTGGCTACTTGCCTAAAACATCAAGGTTTCCATTGCATTCAGCTCTGCAGGCTGCAGAAGGCTTGAAGAGAATCTCTATCCTGAACACCCTGTCCCTGAATCAAGACCTGATCTGGTATTTCAGAGGCCTGGGGCTGGGAGCCTCAAATCCACTTAAGATTCATATACTCGATCCCCTTGGCTTTGGGGAGAAACTTTCTCCTCCTTTGCCATTCTTTTAATATCCCCAGTGGATTTTGATTTTGTTTTCTACATTGAGTTCAGTCTAGGAGATTGGGGGTACAAAGGGAGGGGGTGTATCTGTGTGTAGTGAGTGCTTCATGTGTATAATGTTTGTTTTCTCGATGCAGTGGGGATGGGGTTGAAGCCACCCCTCCCTCTCTGTTGGCTCACCTCTAGGATGGCAATGGGGTGACCTGCAGCCAGCACCATTGTGCATGTAGCAGCACTGATGTGATTAGTAATTTCTCTGTTCCTCCCTTGAACTCCCTGTGTAGTCCAAGGCTTTTAAACTTGCAGGCAACTGACTGATGTCCAGTTGTTCCCTGCTTTTTACGCATCATGTGGTAGATAACTAACAGCTGTTTCCACCCACAAATTCCTCCTCTCCTCTAAACACATTCTCTGTGTCTCTGTCAACAGCCCATCCTGGGGAAAGGAAAAGTCCATCTATTTTTACTCCTGCATCCCAGCTTCTCACCTGCTCTCCCAGTTATCCCCCTCTGCTCTGGGTGTAAGTAGGAGAGTGGAAAGGAGAGTGTCCTCCCCTTTATGGTGGGGAGGACTGCTGGAGAGGAGAAACAGCAAGTCCACCATCACTTGGTGGTACAAGACATACACCACTGGTTTTGGAATTCTCATCTTCTAACCTAGAGAAATAGGTGCTATAAACAGGGAAATACGCAAAATGCTGGATGCTATAGATCTTTTAATTGTCTTAATTTTTTTCTATTATTGAACTACAAGCTGTAGATCTCTTAGTTCTCACAGAACTTCTATTATTTTAAACTGACTTGTATATTTAAAAAAAAATCTTAAGTAGGATGTTTTGTACTGTTGCCTGACCCTCTTCTGTGATGGGTAATGCGTTTGATTGTTTGAGATTTTCTGTTTTTAAAAATGTAGCACTTGACTTTTTGCCAAGGAAAAAAATAAAATATTATTCCAGAGCAAAGTAGTATGAGTGAGTTTATAGTCAAGAGACTGCAAAAAAAGGCACCAAATTACTGGTTGGAGGTTGGCCTGGTGGGGTGGTGCTGAGGTTTCCTGAAATAGTGGGGGGCACGAGAGTTCCCAGCATGTTGGAGCCAATACCTGCTTGCCCCTGGTCTCCAGCTTTGGCCCAGGTCGAGGGTAACTGTGCCTAGGGGAGGAGTCGCTGATATGTTTTAGGATAAGCACTGGTTTGCTGACTGATATATTGGCAGTTCAAACCCACCATCCAATCCTTGGAAATCCTATACAGGGTCTCTATGAGGTGGAATGACACTTGACTGGATGACAGTTAACAACAAACAAAACAGACTGAGGAGGTAAGGTGATTATCCTCGTTCCAAATGATAGGGATTTGGAAACGAAAAGGTTGACCAGCCTGTCTTTATCAGACTTCCCTGTCTGGTTCCGTGGAGGGACCCTGAAAATTACTGGAAGAGTTAGCTGACAGTGCCCTGGGAACAGGAATTTTTTTCCCCCACCTTTTTTTGGAGCTGGGGCCATAAACCCTAGATGCCCTTTCTATAAGTAAAAGACACAGTGACCATAATGAGTGATACTCTTTCCAGAGCCCGTTTGGGACTGTAGCTGAAAGAACAGCAGGAAGACTGACCACAAGTGGGCCACTGAACTGCTTCCTTTGGCACATGGTGCACTTGTTCTTTTCCAGTGCAAACTGGACACAGCTGCTCTCTGCACCTGCCCTGGAGACTGACTACTTCAGAACCCAAGGAACCTGTATGACCAAAGGCTGCAAAGCAGGATAGGGAAAGTAAATGATACTGTCTGAGAAGGCTCCCTAGAGAAGAGCTAGAACCAGCCTTTCCCAGTACATATTCATACATCCCAATACAACCATGATACATTATGTGAAATAAAGTGTGATTCAGAGGTTGTAGGAGACTATATCTGGCTCTTCCTTTAAGCATCCCGAACAAACTTTTTGCCTTAACAGTCATCTTCAGCATGCTGACAAGGGTTCGCTTTTGTGTTTGGTCGTCAATCCCTGTCATTAGTTCTCTCATTTTCATTAGCTTTGTAACTTTCAGTGAAGCTTGGAGAAATTTTTTCTCTCCCCTGGATTGCCATTAAGTGCAGCATACATAAGTTGTGGACAATAGCACTTAACTGATTTTCCACCTTCTTGTTTAATAACCTATTTAATTTCCAATCAGTATTTCTTTGCTTTTTGCTGCAACACTCACTAGCACTAGTTTTGTTCTGCAAATGCATGATGCACATCATGGTAATGATTTTGGAAAAAAAAACACCGACACATCATTGAAGAGACAGTGTAAGAGATAGGGTGCTGCTGCTTAATGAGTCAAAATATACGTTGTTGTGCAGTCAGTGTTTTAGAAAGAAAATGCAGTATAGTACATACAGAAGCCAGTAACAGGCATTTATCATGACTACCAAGACGTAAGTATTATAGGGTATATATGTACTGCACCATATGCCTGGCAGCACAATTGCTGTGTATACAAGAAATTACATGTTGCATGTAGGAAATAGTTGTTAACTATGTCCTGTTCTCTTGATGGGGATTTCTGAACTCATAACCTTATGGAACTGTGGACATATATATGCGGTTAGACTTTGCCAGATGAATGTTATGCAGCATCTGACTGTGCTTTCGGAGTATAGATAGATCCATGGAGCAGTGATTCATATTTTCAAAATGTACCATGATCAAATTGTTTTTGCAAAATACAGGTTAGAACAAAGACAAACTTCTTTCCTTCACAACTTCTCAAGTTCTTAGTTGGTTACTGTGGAACTCATGTTGATAGAACATGCTCACAGAAAGGTGACTTTGGGGATATGGAGTGGGCCTGGCCTGGGCCTCTGGCCTCTGGAATCTTGGCCCTGCTCCCATTTTCCAGTCAGACTTTCCAGCAGAGTATTTATCACAGAAGGGCTTTGTGAACTTTATGGGGTCCCTCCCTTTCCTGCCAGCAGTCCCCACTCCCAAGCAATGAAAGAACTTCCTTGTTCTCCTTTAGGCCACATGCCTCATTCCAAATGGTTAGGCTCCTTCCATCATCCCTTGAGTCTTTGCAGAAGGCTCTGGAGCTAAACATTTAAGCCTGGTTTATGCCCCAGGCTTCTATCCTTGGGTATTTTTAATAAAGCTGAACACTCCTAGTCCATGCCTCTTTAATTTAGCTGTAGACTAGACAATTCCTAGAGCAAGTACCCAGAAAAAGCAAGTCAGGATATCTAGACCCTTTAGCATCAGGGGTTAATCTTATTAAGGATCAGCCTATGATTCAAGTGTTTTACTCCCTTTCAGCTGGCTGGTGTCCAGGACACCACACAATGGGAAGGGATAAAGAGGGCCACTCAAATGTTTTGTTTTAGTCACATGGTAGTGTTTTGAGATGATGGGAGACTTTGAGAAGGTAGAAACAGGCTTCTAATTCTGGAACCACTGATGATGCCAAAAGAAGGCTTAGGTTTCTTAACTTGGTTCTGTAGCCTTCACCTCAGCTTCTCCAAAGAATAATCCCAAGAAAGAAATATGAGCCCCACCCCTAGAGAAAGAGGTGTGAACTGAACTCCTTGAGATGGAATGGGCTTTGAGCTCTTTGATGATTCATCTCTCCAGGACTGAGTGTGAGCTGTCCTCTCAAATTCCCACTGGGTTGGGCCTCACATCTGAACACTCCCTTTGATTAATGTGTAATTGCCAAAGTCAGAATTTTTAAAGGATAATAATACTCATTAAGTGAGCTCAGAGTCACATGTTTGCTGCTTTTCTTGTTAAGCAGTATTCAAAGCTATAATTAACATTTCAAGTGCTATGGACAGGAAGAAAACAAATGATCAACTCATGCCTTAAAGAAAATAAATTCCCCTCACTTGACTATTTTGTTGTTAGTTGGTAGCAGTTTGAACAGAGTACTGGAAATAATGAGATCATGAGTCAGAATCGAATCGACAGCAACCAACAACAACTTATTTCTCTAGGATCAAGGCCATATGCCAAAAGCGAAGAAGACTGCTGGGCTGGGTACCACAGCCTGAGGTGTGAAGGTTTGGACCTTACAGTGTATTACCTCATCTTTACCACTACAACCATCACTCTGTCTTTTTGGATCC